TCGCTATTTAGGCATGAAATTTTATTCTAAAATGCCAAGCCATCATACACTCTTTTTGCTCAACAAAATTCCAATAGCAGCTGCCACACCATAACAACCACCCCAAAAAAGAAATCCTGATGATGATCAACATCCACGCATGTGCTGCTTTTTTTTTTCTGGTATTTATTTGCATTACCTTGCAAACACATGTACCTGGAATTTATTTTTGTCCTGCGCCAAAATTTTATTAAAATGTAGCTGCTGTTGCTATAGTGTGTGTGCCTTCAAAACTACCTGGTCTTTTAATGAACCAAAACAATAATGCACCTCTAATCTTTTGAAATGCATTTAATTCATCCCCTTGGCCCCTTTTTCCACTTTGATTTGTTTTTAATAGAATTTGTTGTTGTTGCTGTTTTTATTAGCAACAACCCTTAATATCCTAGACAATTATGTTTTGTTGTTATTCTCCCAATTTTTTTTTGGTAATTTGACTGTTACTTTATATGCCACTATAATTTTTCTTCTTGTTAGACAGGGTTTCTTTATTGTTTAGGAATTTCTTTAAGAAATAATTTTCACATCTGCCAAAAAATTGTATTTTGCTTAGCACGTACCATGATTTTGTTAGGTATGAAAGTGGAATGAAAAAAGTCGTTACAAAAATCTTTTTATTTTATTAAATTGGCGCCAAAATTTATTGTCTTACACGATAATGTCCTGTAAGTGAGGTAATATTAACCGGTGTGCGAGATTTGTTTTGATAATGACTTTTTATTTTTTAAGAATTTTATAAAAAAATTTCATAGTTCTGCCGAGGAATTCTGATGATGGTGTAGAAATTTTTATGTATTAGCAACATTTTTGGATTTTTTTATATTAATAAAATAAATTATTTCTATACTAACATCTTCCCTACTCAAAACTTATCTGATAGCTAGGGAGGTAGAATGAAAGGAAGACAAATATTATAACAGATTCGAAGAAATGCAAATAAACCTCTATCCAGCTTATTGTAAGCTTCTTTACAAACCAGAATATCTGGTGGGAATCGAACCCACAACTCCCAGATTGTCAGACTAACTGGCCTTCTATACTACTCTCGATATTCATAAGGATTGGGCCTCATTTGACCCTAATTCTTATACAAAGTTCCCCTCAGAAATTGACTTAAAGGTCAATAATTGACTTATAAACATTAGCATGATGAAATACAGCATTAAAAATTTGTATATAGACAATAATCTCTTATCAAAATTTTATAATAACTGCTCCAAATTTTACCCTAGCCCCCGTATAAAGCCATAGGTACATATTGTTTATTTAAAATACATTCAAATTAAAACTTTAGTCTCTGCACTATTTGCGCAAATAGGCACTGTTAACAGATAAAGTATATGGGAAATTTCAGCCGTTCAGATGGACCGACATATGTATCTAAATAGAATAGGAAACGGATCATACAATAGTTTATACATATAGACAGTTAAAAAAGCGGATTTAGCTTAGTCGATATTCTATATTTTTAATACGAAAAAAATAAAGATTAACTCCTCGTATTAAGACTTTTTCTTTGGCAGAGTTGGGACATAAATGCTCTGACGCCGAGGCTTCGTCCATGTCCATCGGAGCAGCTGATTCCGAGGATACATGCTCGATGTTTTTTGGGTCCATAGGGATCTCTTCTGGTATTTTATTTGTTTTAATATTATTAAAATTTTCCATAGAATATGAGTTTATTAATGGGGAAGGGCAAGTAACATCTTATAGCAGATCCCCTTACTATAGATGGGTAACCAATACAACCGGACAGTACCATGGTCCAGAGGCCATTAACCCATGGTCACGATACGGATGACAACCGAGAATTACAGGTTTTATCGAGCGTCCACTCTGCTTTTATGCAGAGATAACTCGTGCAGGATGTGGCTCTTCACTACGCTTGGTCGGTCATGGGGAAATTAAGAGGCTTTAGCATTATCGACAGATTTGCTTTATTGCGCATTGAAACCCCGCCGCACACGCTGCTTCAGTTAGTTAGTTAGTTAGTTAGTTAGTTAGTTAGTTAGTTAGTTAGTTAGTTAGTTAGTTAGTTAGTTAGTTAGTTAGTTAGTTAGTAGTTAGTTAGTAGTTAGTTAGTTAGTTAGTTAGTTAGTTAGTTAGTTAGTTAGTTAGTTAGTTAGTTAGTTAGTTAGTTAGTTAGTTAGTTAGTTAGTTAGTTAGTTAGTTAGTTAGTTAGTTAGTTAGTTAGTTAGTTAGTTAGTTAGTTAGTTAGTTAGTTAGTTAGTTAGTTAGTTAGTTAGTTAGTTAGTAGTTAGTTAGTTAGTTAGTTAGTTAGTTAGTTAGTAGTTAGTTAGTTAGTTAGTTAGTTAGTTAGTTAGTTAGTTAGTTAGTTAGTTAGTTAGTTAGTTAGTAGTTAGTTAGTTAGTTAGTTAGTTAGTTAGTTAGTTAGTTAGTTAGTTAGTTAGTTAGTTAGTTAGTTAGTTAGTTAGTAGTTAGTTAGTTAGTTAGTTAGTTAGTTAGTTAGTTAGTTAGTTAGTTAGTTAGTTAGTTAGTTAGTTAGTTAGTTAGTTAGTTAGTTAGTTAGTTAGTTAGTTAGTTAGTAGTTAGTTAGTTAGTTAGTTAGTTAGTTAGTAGTTAGTTAGTTAGTTAGTTAGTTAGTAGTTAGTTAGTTAGTTAGTTAGTTAGTTAGTTAGTTAGTTAGTTAGTTAGTTAGTTAGTTAGTTAGTTAGTTAGTTAGTTAGTTAGTAGTTAGTTAGTTAGTTAGTTAGTTAGTTAGTTAGTTAGTTAGTTAGTTAGTTAGTTAGTTAGTTAGTTAGTTAGTTAGTTAGTAGTTAGTTAGTTAGTAGTTAGTTAGTTAGTTAGTTAGTTAGTTAGTTAGTTAGTAGTTAGTTAGTTAGTTAGTTAGTAGTTAGTTAGTTAGTTAGTTAGTTAGTTAGTTAGTTAGTTAGTTAGTAGTTAGTTAGTTAGTTAGTTAGTTAGTTAGTTAGTTAGTTAGTTAGTTAGTTAGTTAGTTAGTTAGTTAGTTAGTTAGTTAGTTAGTTTGAAAGGAGGATGTATATGCTTCCACCAAATCCGAATAAATCTAGGTCTCTATCGGTCCTGTTGTGCGGTCCTATGGTAGTGCCTCACTTGGGAATCGAACATACGACCTTCAGTCTACTAGACTAGAACAATAACCACTAACCAACTGCTTCTATTTATTTATAATGATTAGTCATAGTATACTGTTCCTGGGAACAAATTACGGCATACGATATCGATCGAAATCTCAATAGAATCTAAATGGAGATTTCTCAATAGAATCTAAATGGAGATTTCGATCGATATTGTATGCCATAATTTGGGCCCTGAATGTTAAAAAGTGATTGCAGTATGCCAGTTCATTTCACAGTTAGCTCTCTCGTAACTTCCATTGGTCAAAGAAAAGTCCATATTGTATGCTGAAAGATCATCTTAAAATCTGTTAAGTGACGATAATAGAAAAATAGCAATTGTGAAAAATGCTTAAAAAATAGCGACCAATTCATTTGAACTGTGAGGTTTTAATCTATTCTTAAAAATGATCAAGGATCTCATAATTTTCGATAACTACTGCGTTCAAAAATTATTCTATTTTTGGAAATATTCGAAAAGCTTCATTTTTATTTAAATTATTAAACGCAAATTTATACTTTTGTAAATGGTGGTCTGATCTTTAAACAATCCAAAATAAACTAAGAGCAATATAAAAACATGATCATACTCATGTAGCGGATTTACATTTAAGATCTTTTTTAAACTAATTGTAAGCTCACAAAATCTTCTAAATTTATCTCAAACTTTAAGATTCTCTTTAAAATTTTTATAAGAAAAAGCTCTTAAATGTAAAAATTATATTCTTAAACTTTAAAAGCCAAAATGAAAATGAAACACTAAGAGCTTGAAAACTTTAAAAGAGCTTTTTTTTAATAATGATCACTAAAACTCTTTCCAATTAACAAAGAGCAGATGTTGGACTCCCATAATCTTAGCACGTTCTCTCTATTAACCTGCAAAGAGTAACTAAAGAAATTAAAATCAGACAATAATATAATAAGAGAGTATAAGCACGAGACATACATATTTGTATAAAAATAGTTTACAAAACAAAAGAGAAACATTTAACTTGTATATACTTGAATTGTATATATACTTAAGACAAAAATAGAGACAACTCCACCCATATAAACACATATAAAATATTCCATATATAAAAATATATATATATTTCCTTCAAGAAACTAAACTCCAGGTGCTCTTTTTTGATTCAAAAGGGGAAAATCTGTTATAATGAAAATCTTAAGAGTTTTGCATTTCTGTTGGCAGTCAATAATATCAAACAACAAAATCTCTGTAATAGTACTGCTGATGATGATCGTTGTCGTTATTGTCGTCATCGTCATCGTGGTCATTGCTGCACTCACACATGCTTTCCTAGATTTGGTTGTTGGCTGTGTTGTGTTATAGGCACGTGCTACCAGCTCAGCTCTATGTGCAGCTTGCCTGCCAAGAACATCTGGTGCTTTTTGTGTTGTTTTTCTGCTATGAAAACAATTAAGGTGGTTGAAATTGAAGATCACTAAAAGCAGAGAGTATTGAGCGCCTAACAATAGATGCTTTTGTGATAAATCGGAAGTATTTTTATACCTTTACACACTATAAGAATGTATGTACGTATGTATGTGGCACACAATAAAAAGGGGAGGTTGAGGGTTGAAAACTACTATATTTTGCTAGCAGGGATTGTTTAAAGGATCATCAACGTGAGGATCGTTAAGCCAGGAGTATAAATATTAAAGTGATCGTGTGCAATTACATCATTCGTCTAACGAAGCTACAACGAGAAACATTAAGATTTTGTTTTTGTGAACGAAAAAAATAATAATTTTAAACAATTTATTAGTGTTAATTAAAATACAATTTATTAGTGTTAATTTAAAAGAGAGAGAGAGAAAAACGTATTTAAATTAAAAAGTTTTTTTAAGTGAGTGTGTGGAGAAAACCCATTTGGATTAATTCTATTTCCCTTGATATTTTTGGATTAATTTACTCTTAATAATGGATAAAGTTAACTACAGCAAATGTCCCTTGAAAAAGAGGCCTATTATGATGAGCAGTGAAATGTTAATGGATACTGAAACTTCACTAGATCATGGTAAGTTTAGATGAAAAAGAAAAACCTAAATTTTGACTTAGGTTGTTCAAGAAAAGAATCGGAAGTACTAAATTATTTTTTCTCGTTTTTCTCTATTTCCAGATGAAGGTCCAGTTGACTTGAGTAAAGCTTCCTCCTGTAACACTTCCCCCACTTGGAATAAATTGGAACAAGATGATAATGTAACGGTGTCTGCCTTAGATTTACAAAATAAATTTAATACACAGACTAAAGAAGATTTGGCACGCCGCATTTGGGAAGAGACTAGAGATATTGCTCGTGCTTTCCCTGATGTATTTACACGTGAAGAAATCGCCCGCAGTTTGGCACGTCTAGGCTATGGTGATTTTCCTTTACCAGCTGAAGAGCACATAAATGAAAATGAACCTTGTGAGAGAGCACAAAATGTTACACCCTCTCCTCCGCTGCCTAGGGCGGAAACATTCTATGGTGCTACTATTAAACCAGAACCTGTAGAGACTTCTTTCGAAGAGGAAAATACTCCCATGAGAAATTTCAATAATAATTTAATGAAAAGTATTGCTGAGTATGAAGACTGTTTAAGACCTCAGAATTTTTCACGAGAAACTTCTCCCAAGTTGTTGCGCGACAGTGAGCCTTATGTACAACAGAAAGTCAATTTTGAACCCGAGGATTTGAGTTTAAGACCAAGTAAAAAGGTTTTGGGCGACAATACCAATTTACATCATGTGGCCAAAGCTTTGCTGGGCTTACAGAACTTTAAACCCGAGCCAAGTAATGTTAATAACAAAAGTGAAAATGTTAAGCCTGTTGTTAATTTGAAATTAAAGACCAGTAATGACTTATATTATCAATGCCAGCAGTGCAATAAATGCTATTCTACCTATGCGGGTTTGGTTAAACATCAACAGAGTCATGCTTTCGAGAGCACAGAATACAAGATAATACGCAGTAATCCAGAGGGAGGAGCTACTACTCATGATTCCACTGAGTTTACCACCGATCAGGCTGCTGCTTTGATACAGGCCTCTGCTTTAGCTTCTTCGCAATCTATGCAGAAGCCAGTGGGAGTACCTCGCTATCATTGCAATGATTGTGGCAAATCTTATTCTACTTTTTCCGGCCTTACCAAGCACCAACAGTTCCATTGCCCGGCTGCTGAGGGTAATCAGGTGAAAAAAGTTTTCAATTGCAAGAACTGTGACAAGACTTATGTTTCCTTGGGTGCCTTAAAAATGCACATACGCACTCATACTTTACCCTGTAAATGTCCCATTTGCGGTAAGGCCTTCTCTCGTCCTTGGCTATTGCAAGGTCATATACGCACTCATACCGGAGAGAAACCTTTCAGCTGCCAACATTGTAATAGAGCTTTTGCTGATCGCTCTAATTTGAGAGCTCATATGCAGACACACTCAGATGTTAAGAAATATTCCTGCCCTTCATGCACCAAGTCTTTCTCACGCATGTCTCTGCTGGGCAAACATTTGCAAAGTGGCTGTCAATCTTCGCCCAATTCACAAAACTCCAAATCTCCACCTTTGGATGCGGTAAGTGGCCTTAACCAGCAACAATTACAACAACATTTGCAGGGTATGCAAAATAAATACTCTGTTGCAGCTTACGATGAAAATATGCATCCCTCACAAATGCAACAAAATCAACAGCGTATTTATTATGCCGGCAGTGTAGAGTCAAGTGAAAATGATACCGAGGAAGACTATACCCTGCAAAATGGCTATGCCCATCCTCTCATAGAAAGATTAAGTGAATTTTAGTCATAAAGAGTTTCAATATTTTAGAAAGTAAGTGTAAAAATTGTAAATTCTAACACCTCCCCCCACCCCCCTCAAGAGACACAACAAATCCAGTTAATTTAGTTTTTAAGTTAGGATTTTATTTTTTCTGTTTAAATGTCCTTCTGTTTCTCGTCTTTACCAAAAATCTAGTTTATTTAACCAAAGTTTAGCTTAGCTTATATTTTGAACCAAAGTTGGCACAGCTTAAAATTCTCATTTAGTTTAGTTTAGAAATCAAACAGCAAAACCAAATTATTTGCAACTTATTCTAGTTAGGGAAACCAAAGTTAGCTTAGCTTATCCATTACCAAAGTATTATGTAAATCAGTCTAGTTAGTTTAAAACCAAAGTTAGCTTAGCTTAGTATTTAATCGTTCAAATTAGCGACACATAGTTTAGGGTCAGTTAGTGCCAAAACAAAGTATTAGGAGTCTGTATAATTTTTTCCATATCATTAATTTTATCTAAATTATTATAATTTATTTATTGCTATTTATTTGTAAACCATATTCATTTATTTAAACATTTTTTTTCTTACTTATTTCTTAAATAATTAATTTATTTCAGACAACTTAATTATTTTATCATATAAATTTTTTTCATTTAACTCATTTCAAAGTGTCTATTGGTTGTCTAGTCACACCTTATTTATTCTACTTTATTTTATTCACTAACATTAATATTAATAATATTTCTGAATTTATTTTTTTTTCGTCTCTAACATATTGATTTTATTATTAACTTTAACTCCAACTACTGTTTCATAGTTTTTTTTTTATATATAAATCGTAATCACATTGTTATTTGTTATTTATTGCATTTTATTAATCAATCAATATTTTGTTATATTTGTTCTTATAAATATTTATTTTCGTATTACCTTTAAATTACATATATTGTTAATATTTATTTATTTACTTTTCTTAAAAAAAACTATTTTAAATATATAAATATTTATTTAATATGAAAAAAATTATAAAATTTATTTCTATAATTCCTGTGTACAGTAGTGCCATACTTCGTTTTAAGTATCTTTGTGTATAGATAAAAAGAATCTCCCCCACCGTGCTGTAAATTTGTTAATGCCTTTGATTATAGCAAAAAAATATATATAATAACAAGAGAATATATTATAAAAAAGTTTATTTTTTATTTTTCCATAAATATTTTAATAAAATTTTGTATTTTTTTTTTTAAACATAAAAATTTTATGACTATTTTTTCTCTAAATATAAGATTTAAATTAATTTGCATTTGTTGAATTGTGGGAAGTATAGAGGGGCAAATATCTGAAGGTTTTCAACATAATTAACATTATTATATCCTTCGCCTTCGTTAGAAGGGTATATATGTTTGTTATTCAGTTCATAATATCATAGATAAAATTTTGGGACCTTAAAAGGTATCTATATATACAATTTGTCGGTTTAGCGATGTCCGTCCGTCCAACTACGTTAGTCTGCCTGTCTCTTTCTCTGTCTGCCTTTCTGTCTATCGGTATGTCTGTCTGTCTGTCTTTATATCTGTTTTTTTCTCTGTCTGCCTTTCTGTCTTTTGGCGTGTCTGTCTGTCAGTCTGCCTATCTGTATGTTAAAATCAATTTTCTGTAGACCCCAAATATCTTCGTGATCTAAATCGTCAATAATTCTGACAGATATGATTTCTAGAAGTTTTCTATTAAAAATCTGACAAATCCATTTATAAATAATGGAGATATGTACAAAAATCCAAGACAACCTCTGAAAATTAAAAAAAAAAAGAAAATTGTTGCATGCTTTGACAAAAAAAGCAACAACAACAACATTGCTTATTGAAAAAAAAAAAAAAACGTACGTTGGATGTGTTTTGGTTCTATTTCTTTGCGTGTTTTGTTTCGTTTGGCGTAAGTTTTTGTTGTTTTGTTATTGTCTTTCTGTCTGTCTTTCTGTCTTTCTGTATGTCTGTCCGTCTGTCCGTCTGTCGAAATCAATTTCTTGTAGACCCCAGATATCTTTGTGATCTAAATCGTTAATAATTCTATCAGACATGCTTTCTAGAAGTTTTCTATTTAAAAACAGGAAAATCCATTCAAAAATAATGGAGAAAATCCAAGAAAACCTCTGAAAATTGGTATGTATTTTGGTTCTATTGCTTTGTGTGTTTTGTTTCGTTTGGCGTAAGTTGTTATTGTTCTCTTGTTTTGTCATTGTAACTACGAAGTTCCAGTATTTAGTTAAGTTTGTTTTTAAATGCCCGTCTGTCTATCTGTCTGTCTGTTGAAATCAATTTTCTGAAGATCCCAAATATTTTTGGGATCTAAATCGTCAATAATACTGTCAGCAATACATTTTAGAAGTTTTCTGTTCAAAATCAGTATAATTCATCTATAAATAATGGAGATATGTGCAAAAATCCAAGACAACCTCTGAAAATTTCTTATGCTTTGGAAAAAGCATATGTTAGGATGTGTTTCTGTTATATTGCTCTGCGTGTTTTGTATCGCTTGTCGTAAGTTGTTGTTGTTTTTTTTTTTGTTATTGCAACTACGCAGTTCCCTTATTTAGTTAAGTTTGTTTTCAAATGTCCGTCTGTGTGTCTGACGAAATAAATTTTCTGGAGACCTCAGATATCTTTGAGATTTAAATCATCAATAATTCTGTCAGATATTCTTTCGAGAAGTTTTTTATTTGAAATAGTGAAATCTGTCCATAAATAATGGAGATATGTACAAAAATCCAAGGCAACCTCTGCATGCTTTGATAAAAATGCAACAACCACATTGTTGATTGGAAAAAACATATGTTAGGATGTGTTTTTGTTCTATTGCTTTGCGTGTTTGGTTTCGTTTGGCGTAAGCTTTTGTTGTTTTCTTGTTTTGTTATTTCAACTACGCAGCTCCCTTTTTAGGTTAAGGTTGTTTTCTAATGTCCGTCTGTATGTCTGTCGAAATCAATTTTCTGATGACCCCAGATATCTTTGGAATCTAAATCGTCACACATATTGTCGAGACCATGCAAATGTTCGATATAAAGTCCTTGACTGTTGCAAATTCACGTACTTACTCATTCGAAAGAGAAATCCTTATATATACCGCCATTCTGGAGTTTCGCTTTTCTTTTATAATTGCTATGTTTTCGCAGTGGCCATTCATATAAGTTTAAATTAAATCCTGGAACTATCAGACTTAAACCATTATTTGGAATGTTTTGATAAATTAGCGTCGAGCACCCCTAATGGCCAGATTATTAACCTATCGATTAACATATTTTTAAAAATATTCCGCTAGGTAGACGCTGGTAGCGAGTCCTTTTCAAATTAACGATTCGAGTTTTCTTATAATGTAATGATCTTTCAGTACACCAACAAATTTAACCCCCCTGGTTTATTTCCTTGGTGAACCGCCTTCATCTTTATATTATTGCAATGGTATGGAGGTGCTACTAATACCTCTAGTATTGTTGGATTTATAAACAGGAGTCATTCCTTGGAGTCTTTTGTCTCGAAGTCTGTCCAGAGAACCACATCATGTGGTATTAAGGGTGATGTTCACCCACAAGATTTTTACCGGATATTAACAGATGTACTTGGGGGTTCATGTAGATGTTCTGGTTGAAATTTAAATCGCAGGAAGAAAAAGTGGTTAAAACGACCTACGGAATTTGAAAATAATATTTCGGGAAAAGTTGCATCACAACCGGATCACTCGGAGGAGTGTCAGCAGCACTAAATTAGTCGATAAGAAAATAATGGCATACAGAATTAATCCGGTGTGTCGAATGTGCCGATGTTTTTCTTTATGTTGGATTTTCTATGGGTGATGGGTTGAATGGTCATTAATGCCTGGCATCTATTCATGTCTTATGACTAGAGTTCGCAGGCTTCCAGCAGTATTAACCATAATAGTAAGACCGAAGTCTTGGCTTATTGATAGTCTACCAAATACGACTCTAGGATCTGTTGCAGAACAGAAGTAACAGCAACATTTAGTTGTGGATTGGATTGTTTGATTATGGAATGCTTCAGATATGATCTGAATATTTCTTAATAGAAAGCAATGGGTCTTCGATAGTCCGAGATTATATAGCTCAAGTACTTGAACAAAGTGCTGGCAAATGGTCCATTGCAGACATGTACATGCCACTTTTTTGAATGTTACGATTGATAGATCACTAGCTCACCATGTGGTTAAAAAAGAAGCAATAAAAAACGAATCTAGATATGCTATTGGCTACTATATGGTTATATATTATATAATCACTTTTACTTCTTTTAGTTGTTAATGTCACCAACTTCTTAACACAAAATTTTAAAGTTCTCAAATGCAAATATTAAATCAATATCCTTTAAACCACAAATACTTAATTGGCCACTCACAGTTGACTCATGTGGTTTAAACAATTAAAACTTGTCGACATTTTGTCGTCAGCATTTAAATGTTTGTCATACTCTAATCAAGAATAAAACTTAAGCTACCGTTTAACTATTTTTGCATTAACGCCACCAAAAAATAAATAAAAAAATCGAAATCGAAAAACCCATGGCGTTTAGCTTACAAGTATATTAAACTAAAGCACCAAAAAAAAAAAAAAAAACACAAACAAAAATCTTTCAAATAACGCAAAATCTAACTAAAATAAAAATAAAACTTAAACTCCGCTTAAGTATTAAACAATTCCATTACAACCAATGCTTTACGAGTCAAACGAATGAATATTTTTAACTTATTTATTTCTGTTTCATTTTTTTCATTTCTTTTAGAAGTAAATAAATTGCGTGGACGGTATTTATTATATTAATGTTGTGTTTTTAGTTGCATTTATTATAACCACAGCATTTAATAGTTGCAACAAAATACAAATACACAAAGCATTAACAACAACAACAATAAGAAAAAACTAAGCTATAACTACAGCAACTAATGCTACAACAACACCATCAATATAGTGTATTTAAGGTGCGGCGTCATCAAGCAGCCGGTCTATAGTAAATGGTTAAATAAG